GCTTAAATCTTACAATCTTGAGAACGTTTTTAAAATTAAAAATAACTGCACTTATTGTCATTTTCTCCTTTCTACCCGTATCTATATCTATAACATTTATTTATCATTTATTCATGTATATTAGTAGTATAATTTCAGTAACGATCATTAGAAAGTTTTTAATTTTTTATGAATCTCGAGATTCATCAAAAATCAAGAGAAACAAAAGGAATACAAAGCGATAAAAAATTAAATCCAAGTTTCCATTTTTTTTTGTCTTTCCATTTTCTTTACGGACATTATACATGGAGACATTATGGCAATAAGATATTGTTACTATAAAGTTTTATTCCTAACAGATGGAATTTATAAAAAGACTTATTATATATATTATATATATATATATATATATATATATATATGTATATTTATCTCTCTCTCTCTTCCCTCTCTCTCTCTTCCCTTCTTTCGTTTTTCTTCACTCTTTCTCCCTCTCTTTCTTCACCCTCTCTCTCTCATGGTTTTTAATATTTTTTATAATAAAAGTGTATAATTTGTGTATTGAAGCAATAAGTAGAGAAAGTTACAAGTTCCTATATTCATAATTGAAATGTTTGTATAAACATGGAATAGAGTACAATTATTTTTTTCTAAATAAAATATCTAGAACATATACAAATATGATATAATAAACTATAAATTTATTTTACTAAATTTGTATTCTAGTAATCATTATTAATGATTGATTACATTGTTCTATCTGTAGTACACGCATTAGCATATGTTAATAATATTATTCGTTTAGTGTTTTCGCTAATCGTTTGGAATATACAGAATGCAGAACTTTTCTATTATATATAACATTATAGTACATTTGTAAATTGCAATGTAATATATAATATTGTGGATACATTGTAGGAAAATTGTAACAATTGCAATTGTAACATTTCATGAAAAACATTAACAACACTTCAGAAGCAAAAAAATGTTACATATTCAAAATCACTGTTTTTCCATTAAGAAATTTCTTATTTATATATAGTATAGGTGTGTGCGCGCGTGCGTCCGTGTGTGTATACATATATACAGGATAAAGTAAATAAAGAGTTAAAATGTTAATAGAAATAAGTTAATAATCACAGAAAATATTGTTCGTAGAAAAAAAAATTTGGAAGAAAAACTGTTTGGTATAAATAGTCAAAAAATTTACTGTAGTCTAACAAATTTTGACAAAAAATGATATATCTTGTAAATATACTCTTTTTCGATAATCTTACCTTAATATTCTGTATAAAATAATGAGATAAATTAATTGATGTAAAAAAAGTTCTTGTTAAAAAATTGCAATTAAAAAAAATTGCAATTTGCAATGTACAATTGTATACTTTTTTGTTAAAATAACTGTATGTTTTTGTACTATTTCATTTTTTTATACTATTAGTACTGCAACTATGTATTTGCATTTATATGTTTGTTCTTACTTGCCCGGACTGATATCAGATATCAGAGATCATTTTTATTTTTGAGTATCCATAATTGAAAAGTTAAAATATAATATACTTGTCTGTAATGTAAATATATTAATATATATGTATATATATGTATATACTTGTCTGTAATGTAAATATGATGTTTTGCTTGCGAATAATCTTGTCTTGTTGATTTTGATGACGAAAGTATTGTTGATTAATCTGTTCAGAAGTTAATCTTTTAATCTTCTACAAATTCAGACATGAAAAGAGGGGCTATTTGAATTTGTATTATATCAATGTTTTTGATTTATTATTTTATTGAACATTATTCAAAAATTGACTATTCTAAAACATAAATGCGATAGTTAGTCAACTTGATCATGTATACTATTCGTATAATCGACTTTAAGATTTAAAGTGCTTTTAGTTCATATATAAAACATATTTTATACAATTTAGACTTTGAAACAAACACAAGTTTTAAGACGCATATACAGATAGATTTAAAATTAAAATAAAATATAAAAGCTTATACTGGGTGTTACCCGGTATATCAGACCACCCGTATACCCCTTTTCTTTCAAAAACTAAGCATTTTAGAGAAAAACGTTTTAGACAAAAATTGTATGGTTCCCCTTAAGGGGAACATAAGATGGTGCCATTGATTTGACCTTGAAGTCATTTGAAGGTCATGTGAAGGTCAACTTTAATTTCTTAAATGGAACTATCTATTTTTTCATTACAGATTCTTAAGAACTTTCCAAAACCCTGTAATAAAATGTTTTTTCATGGAGTACTCTTTGAGTTATAAAGGTTTGAAACTAACAATTTTTTGACATAATGTAAAATATCTTGTAAAATATTCAGTTTTCGATATTCATACTTTAATACTTTCTTCTACGGAATAATGGGAAAATTGTGTAAAAGAAAACACAGTTGCTTATAAAAAAAGTATGCAGCTGCATGTTAAATATTACATATTCTTTTTAAAACAATTATCTGTTTTCTTTATACCAATTGATTGATCTTATTATACTGCACAGAAAAGTATTAAGGCATGATTATTGAAAATTGAATATTGTACAAAATATTTTACATTTTAAGTCAAAAAATTGTTAGCTTCAAACTTTTATAACTCAAAGAGTACTCCATGAAAAAAATACTTTGTTATAGGATTTTGTACAGCTGTTGAGATAACCTACTAGAATATGTAATAAAAAATAGGAAGTTTTATTTAAAAAATTGAAGTTGATCTTTACGTGACCTTTAACTGACTTTTCAAGGTCAAATCAATGGCACCATCTTATGTTCCCCTCAAAACCATACAATTTTTGTCTAAAACGTTTTTCTCTAAAATGCTTAGTTTTTGAAAGAAAAGGGGTGTACGGGTGGTCTGGGACACCCTGTATATTCGGATTGTATATGTATTTTTTTTCTTCTTCTTTTACGATTTTATCGGTTTGTGTCGACAGGAATGATCTTAAAATGTGTACTTGTGATGAGCAAAGGTTGTGATGGTTCGAATCTGAGCAAGTCCAGATGTGTCATTCTTTAATCTTAAAATTTTAGATTAATTATAAATTATAAATTAAATTATAAATTATAGATATGTAAAATTTAGTTTATATAAATTAAAAGTCTATTCAAAATCCTAAAGTTAAGTATATATAAATTTATTGTATATAATTAATTATAATTAGTTATTCGACATTAATTTATTTTATGATTTTGAATAATTATTTTTAAAATAACATTTAACAAGGATTTGTTTTTATTATTTTATTTATTTATTTTTTATTTATTATTTATTATTATTATTTACTTATTATTTTATTGAGATTAATTGCATATTGCATTTAATTTGAATATTTTCTTATATATTTGGCACATGTATTTCTGTTTGCTGTCAAAGTTTTAACTTATTTATAATTAAACGGTTTTAAACTCTTATAATAAGTTTTTTGTGTATTATATTTAAAAACATTTGGCATATATATGCAATAAAATTTTATTACTAAAAATGATATAAAATATTACAATACAAATTACAAATTACAAAAAAATATATTTTATATTGTAATATTTATTATATTTTATTATTTTTCTAACAATATATATCTATCTATTTCATATATCTATTTCATATATCTATATTAAAACCATGCATATTATAAAATATTTTCCTTGAAATTACGCCTTTTAAAATTATCTTTATTTTTACAATTTTTATTGCAAATTATTTTTAAAAAACGAATAGCTTCAGTGATAGTCACGATAATTTTTTTGTAAATAAATTATAATACATTATACGCATTATGAAAATGTAATAATTAACACGTAAATTTTTTTTTATTTTATAGAAGTATTTATTTTGAATTTATTCAGATACTGTCTTTTCTGGCAATATTAAAGTACTTATATCCTTAGAATTATGAAGTAACAATGAACAATAAATTTACAAAACTAGATAACACAAGCGCACGCTTCGCGTGCGCCAAATAAACTTTTTCTCCGCGAGGGTACATAATTTTAATCTGCTGAATTTTAATTATGTACATAACTTTAATTCTCGAATTTCTATTATATACATAATTTTAATTCATCGAATTAAATATAATTATGATGCTCAATAATTGGTTTTAATAGTTTAGTTCGATTTACACACAACACACACACACACACACACACACACATACACACATAATTTTTATATTGAGACTTCGAGTAATTTGTTTAAATTCAACAGAGAATATATATTGAATAAATATATTAATATAATTAATATTAAAACAAGAAGGAAATAGGTTAATGAGAGCTAAAGAAAACAGGAGACATGAATAATTATCTTTAAAAAAATCACTTTATAATTATCCAGATACACGTTTCAGTTTCTTTTCATTTTATCTTCAGTGACTATTAACAAAATAATATATGTCATACAGAAAAATCCAAGCAATCCCAATGATTTCAATATAAAGTAAATATAGAATATATATAATATATATATATATATATATATATATATATATATATATGAATATGAATATATATATATATATATATGAAGAAAAGAGGGAGAGGAGAATGAGGGAAGGAGAGAGAGATCAATTCAATACGCAAGGGAAACCAATAAATCAGACTCGTAATTCAAAAAACCATAGTATTTCGAAATAAAATGTCAAAAAATAGACATTTTACAACAATTCGCAATGAAATTCGCGTTATCCTGCGGAGATATTGAAGTTTTGGTTTTTTCCATCATTTCATCCAATGATGAAATCAATCCTATAAAATACGAAGAAATGGCGAATTATGATTTTTCCAAATCAATAAATATATATTCAAGAGACGAAAGTCTCTCTGTCACATATCTCTCTCTCTCTCCCTCTCTCTCTCTCTCTTTCTGCCGGATCATCAGGAAGAAAAGGGAACGTCTCGCTGACCTATTCTATGGCCCATAATTCTTGCATGAGCAAGCGAGGAAAGAGGGACAGAGACACACATTCGGGAATATATAAAACGCATATCGTATATAAATGTTGGACTCACCTCTTCGGCAAACTCGAAGTCCCCGTCGAATTTTCTCTTGCACTTCACTCCTACGGTCAAAACCAGAAGTACTGCGACCGCGAATATCCACGAAAATTGCACGGCTCCTGCCATCGTTCTCCTCTATCTCTTTTTACTCCCGGAACGGTCACTTATTTCACACCGGGAAACACGCGCGCGCGCGCGCAAGTCAGCACACGCGATTATATACCATACACGTAAGGGAAGAAAAAGAGAGATATCATTCGCGAGAGACAATTGTACCGTGTATGCGTATGTGCGCGCGCGCGCGTATTAAATGTAGCCGACGACGACACGCGCACGCAAAATTTCTAAACTCGCCGTACGTACGTCACTCGACTCCGAAAACGAATTGAAAACACGCAGTTCGATAGCCGAACAAGTTGTGACGTGACTACGCCAAGTGGAGGCGACACCACTGCTGCACTATCACTGGCGCGGGCGCACGTTTATTGGTCGGATTCCGACGAACGACGCCGCTCGGAGCCAGTACTCGTGTGGGCGGGAGGGGGAGGGGAGAGCGAGGTGGAAGGTCTGATAGCGCGTGTTAGGTATAGACCGAGGAGCCGCCATCTCGCTTGGCTTGCTCGGCCGTTTCCGCTGTTCACCGTATATATCTATTCGACTATCTTCGGCACGATGGCGAGCGGGATTAGCGAGCGGGTGGTACACTGCACCAGTCAATACCTTTAACTGCTTAGTTCACCTACCTATCTACCTGATGTAGCCCACGGCCTGACAGACAAAAAGGGGAAAGAGAATTATATTGAATTCATGTTGGAGAAAGGCATCGAGAAAATATATATCTAGTCCCATTCTCCAAGAATTTTCGCAACCAATTTTTTCCTTCTCCTCTTTTAGTTTCGTTACAATTATTGAGCATCGCGCTAGCATAATACTTACATGTAGACTTTTCTAAAGTAACAGCATTAGATTGGAATAGAAATTTTGATAGAAAAATAACAACCAAGTGTAGAAATTAAGCGTAACAAAGTTTTTGGATTTTTCTTTATTTAAATTTAATTAATGAAAGACTCGTATAAATTAACAAAATTTAAAAAAAGGTAAATATTGTAGGCCAACTAAACGAGCAATTAAATAAGATCTAAAGATTTATTAATAATTAAATAATTAAATTCTCATTCCGTTAGAGAAACAATATACAGCGTAAACGTTTCGACTGCACTACAGTCTTTTTCAATACGTAAAAATCAAATATTAAAATACAAAGTTAAATATTAAAATACAAAGTTGGTTAAACATTAAAATACAAAGTTAAACGATTCTTCGTTGATGACCAAATGTCCTAGGACATTTGTTATTTAGACTTCGCAACACACACTTGAAATGTCAAGAAGAAGAACTTGTTAAAACGATAATCATGATTAAATGTCGCAAAACTTGGAATCTCAGACCAATCGGCTTACTCATCTATTGGTCATCAGCAAAGAATCGTTTAATTTTGTATTTTAATGTTTAACCAACTTTGTAATATTTAATATTTAACTTTGTATTTTAATATTTGATTTTTACGTATTGAAAAAGACTGTAGTGCAGTCGAAACGTTTACGCTGTATATTGTTTCTCTAACGGAATGAGAATTTAATTATTTAATTATTAATAAATCTTTAGATCTTATTTAATTGCTCGTTTAGTTGGCCTACAATATTTACCTTTCTTTAAATTTTGTTTCTTTATTTAATTTGATCGTTTTGAAACAAACCTTTGGACCACACACACACATTTTCAGGCGATTGATTAACAAAAACAATCATACAGGGTTTGTATTTTAAGTAATGAGAATATTTTTGTCCTGACGCGGCTGTACGCCAGAGGGCGCTCCAACCGGTTGGAGTCGGTAGTGGGGCCTTCGACCTTGATAACGCTCCAATCGGCGGTCGCCTGCTGGCTTTGGTTGAGGCAGGATCACGCGTGGCGTAGACGTCTTCAAAAAAGTGTGTGCAAGTTCAAAATGCAACAAAGCATTGAACAGCGTTACGCAATCAAATTTTGCGTTCGCCTTGGAAAATCGGGTGCATCAACGCTGGAAATGATTCATTTGCTGAACACGGACCGGCGTTTAAGTGTTCGCATGATCGCAGAAACGCTAGGAATGGATAAAATGATTGTGCACAAAATCATCAGTGAGGATCTTGGGATGAGGAAGATTTGCGCCAAACTCAAAAAATGGCATCGTAACAATTCCACAGCCTCCCTACAGCCCCGACCTTACCCCAGCAGACTTTTTCCTCTTCCGCAAAGTGAAAACCGCCCTCAAAGGGCGCCACCACGGGACCCTGGATGTTGTCAAAAGGGCTTGCACGCATGCTCTGAAGGATGTTTCGGTTGGTGACTTCCAGGGAGCGTACGAAGCGTGGAAACGTCGCCTGCAGAAGTGTGTTGATACTCAAGGAGCATATTTTGAAAACTACTAAAGTTTTGTAGCGATATCTCTAATAAATTATTTTTTGTGGACTTATTCTCATTACTTAAAATACACACCCTGTATTCTCGATCCATTCCTATCTAACGAGGGGATTCTTCACATTGTCTATTTTATCAACCAATTATTATTTTTCTACTTCTAGTCTTTTGTCGTATTAATTTGACAGAATTAAAAATGCTTCTCTATAATTGCAATACATACATCAATGATTTTAGGGAAATTCGATTTCATATAAAAAACGAGAAATAATTACGAAATTAGTTTTCCTTTATATATTTTTATCTCGATATAACACGTTTCAAATGACAAACGAGCTCCATATTATGTGCTTTATATAAAAAATATACATTTTATATGAATATAAACACAAGATCCTTGGGATTAAGATTCATGGAAAAACCACTGTTATCCTCTAAATCTAGATTAGAAGTCTAACATAAAAGTATCTTTTGTATTACGATTCGTATGTATGTGTGCGTGCATTGTAGATATAATAATAGAGCAAAAAACGTCAATACATATTTACGTTTAAACCTATATAATAGTATTAAACGTAGCAAAAAGTGACTCATGTATATATGGATTTCTAATATATGTTTGATCTGATTTATAATGTGAAATTGAAAATATCAGTAATTATTCTTCGAAAATCAATCGGTAATTACCAATATTTTTAATTCCAAAATGAAGACGCTACTATTTCGTCGGAATTCGTTGTTCGCTGAGGAATTCCCTTGAACCTGCAGGCTTATTCTGTAACTTTTTAACGTAAGCGTTTGTCGTGTATTCTCGGTTTCGGCAAGAAATGGATAATGATCGCTTGATAAATAATCACAGTTTCTTTCTTGTTATATCACACGTTAACTTTACTTCAAACAGATATGAAAATATATATATATATATATATAAATTGATCATAGGAAAAATTACACTTCGCTTATTGTACGAGTGCCTTGCTCCAAGGCTGGTAAAGGAGAGAGCTCCGCTCTCGCGCTCTCCGCTCGCTCAACGCTTCCCGAACTCGCGCGTGCGCTATTACAGCTCGCGCGCGCTATACGATTATTACATATGTAACACTTTCCCTCTCCTCAAGGAAAAAAAATTTTTTTTCTCTTTTGCAACTACATAAAAGTAAACTTGGGAGAGGAAAACAAAGAATTATAGCAAAACAAAAAAAAATATATATATATATATATATATATATATATATATATATCGTTAAGCCTGGTAACATTTAGGCGGGCCACAACATCGAATAGATTTTCGCGGCGTTCTCAGCTCGGGAACTTCCTTTTCGCCTCGATTTCCCTCGGTGCTGTTTGCGTCTTTCCTAGTTGTAGGTTTATTAACGTTCTTTGAACCTTCCTCCTCTCGTGGTTGATTTATTTCATTCCGATCTTCTTGTTCCGCGGATAATTCCGTTTTCCCGGGCAGATTGTAGTCCCATAACTCCTTCAAAATTTTGGAGTTCTGCGTGACGTTTCTCACTCTTTGTATTTGATCGATGTGCCGTTTCCAGCAAGTGTTATTATCCATCCTAATTATATAATGTAGTAATCCTGTGCGTTTTTCAATCCTTCCAAACATCCATTTATTTGCTCCATAATAATTTCGACATTCGACTTTATCGCCAACTTGAAACTCGCGCGCATTACATATTTTTTATTATTCGTATTCATTTCGCTTGTACTTGCTAGTAATAGTGATAAACGTGTACGTAATTTTTTGTTAAACATCCTTTCCGCCGGCAACATTCCTATGGCGAAGTGTGGTGTCGTTCGATAGTAAAATAAAATTTGTTGCACCGCTTTCTGTAATTCATTTAGCTGTACTCTATTATTTTGACATTTTTTTTAAAAGCTATTTTTAGAGTTTGAACGAAACGTTCCGCTTGGCCATTTGTCGCCGGATGGAAAGGTGCCGTCGTTTTGTGCGTGATACCATTACAATGTAAGAATTGTGCAAATTCCTTTGATGTAAAATGTCGTCCGTTATCCAAAACGATTATTTCCGGGATGCCGAATGTACTGAATATTTGCCTGCATTTTTGTATCATAGTCACTACTTGTCAAATCCTTTGTAATATACACCTCGGGCCATTTCGAAAAAGCATCTACCAAAATAAAGAAATAATGGCCCATGAATGGCCCCGTGAAATCGATACGTACTCGTTGAAAAAGAAACTCTGCAGTTTCCCATTCATATGTTTTAGTTTTTCGAGGATTATTTCGTACCAAATTACAATTTGCACAATCTTTTGCTACTTTTTCGAGATAAAGGTCAATACGTGGCCACCACACATATTGCCTCGCTAATGCTTTCATCTTAACAATGCCAGCGTGTTCGCAATGTAGTTCTTGTACAATTCTGTTTCTAAGTTTTTGTGGAATAATTACTCTACAATCTCGCATAATAATACCTTTTTGAAGACTAAATTCTTCTATCGAAATATTGAAACGTTCACATGGCTTAATACTGCTACCATTTTGTAACGCTGAATATAATGCTCGTAGTTCGCTATCTTTTTCCGTTTCTGCTGACAATTCAGAACGCGTAATTGGTAAAACTCTATTACATTTATTTCAAAATTATCAACTACATCATTTTCGTATTAGTATTCTTGCGCAATTGGTAATCGCGATAACCCATCGGCATTACCGTGCTGTTTAGTATTTCTATATTTAACATCATACGAGAAGCCTTGCAAGAAAATTGCGTAATGTTGCATTCTCAATGCAGAATGTGCCGGCAACCCTTTCTCCGGTCTGAAAATTTGCGTTAACGGACGGTGATCTGTATATAATACAAAACAATTTTTGAAAAGATATTAGTAAAATTTCTTAATTGCAAAAATAATTGCGTAAGCCTCTTTATCAATCTGAGTATTTCCTTTGTGTACGCGAAAGAGTTTGAGAGGCATATTGGATCACGCGCTCTGTTCCGTCAGCTTGTTTTTGTGAGAGAACCGCACCCACACCATACGCACTTGCATCGCACGCAACTATTAAAGGTAGCTTCGAATTGTAATGCGCTAAAACCTTGTCGCTCATAAATTCTTTCTTTGCTTTATGGAACGCTGTTTCGCATGCCTCATTCCAATTAAGCGGTCTTGATTTACTTTGTCTACTTTCAAGTAATTTGTATAACAGTTTTAACATCGTACTAGCATTTGCTATGAAGCGACCATAATAGTTTACTAAACCTAAAAACGCTCGCAATTCTGTAATATTTTGCGGACGACGCATATCTTCAAT